TGCCAGATTTTAGCAAATAAAAGCATAGAATGTTCAATTAAATTTAAATGTCATATAAATAGTGAATTATATATGCTTGGTATAAGTAGGTCCACTCAATATTTGTGAAATATTTATAGTAGATATTAATCTTGTTTACCTAAAATTCAATTTTAACTGAAGGTTGTATATTTTATCTGGCAACTCTACTCAAAAATGTACTTGTGAATTTATACATTTATTACTGTACTAATTCACTTGCCTATGGAGTCCAGGTATGATGCTGTAGGATAAGCACTGGACCACAAGGTTGGTTTAAACAGCAAGGTTGGCAGTTCAAACCCACCAGCCACTCCTCAAAAACCCTATACAGGTCACTATTAGTCAGAACCCAGTGCACAGCACTTAATTTGCCTTATAACTTACATGGAGGGGATTGTAATCATGGCAATGAGACAATATACGATAGAATAAATGTAAAACCAATGTTCTACCATGTAAACTATCACATAATTCACAATAAAACAATTTTTTAAAAAGTTAATTAAAATAAATTCTACATTCAAAGTACAGGATTTTTGACTCACCCTCATATATATATATTTGTTGTTAAGTGCTGTCCAGTCAGTTCCTACCCTTAGTGACCTTGTATTGGGTTTCCAAAGAGCAACTGGTAGATTTCAACTACCGACTTTATGGTTCACCTTCCACTGTTGATCCTACAGCACTACACCAGAAGTCTCTTTCTTATATATATATATATATATATGTATATGTATATGTATATATATATATATATATGTATATGTATATATATATAGAGAGAGAGAGAGAGAGCACGCTCTCTGGTAGCATAGTGGTTATGAATCAGGCCGCTAATCTCAAGGTCAGCAGTTCGAAACTACCAACTGTTCCATGGGAGAGGGAGAAAGATGAGGCTTTCTGCTCCCATAAAGGTTTACAGCCTCAGAAACCCTATGCAGGGTTACTATGAGTCCAAACCTACTCCACAGCACTTAACAACAGTACACACATATATACCAACTTATTGCAACCCTGTACAGGAATTTTGAGGAGTAGCTGGTGAGCTTGAACCACTGACCTTGAGGATCAAACTGACTTTGCAGTCCAGCACATTAACCCACAGTGCCACACCAGGATGACCCTGTTGTTGTTGTTAAGTGCTGTCGAGTCGGTTCCAACCCATAGCGACCCTAAACAGGATTTCCGAGGCTGTAAATCTTTACAGGAGCAGAAAGGCTCCTACAGACTATTAAATTATTGGTGTCTGCCATGGAGTTGGTTCTAACTACAACAGAATGGAAAAGCTGCTGATCTTGCACCATCCTCACCATCATCGCCGAGGTTGAGCTCATTGCTGCAGCCACTGTGTCATTCCATCTTGTTGGGAATCTTCCTATTTTTTTCTCACCCTCTACTTTACCAAGCATGATGTCCTTTTCCAGGAACTAGTCCTGATGTGGATTTGGACTATTAACCACATGGTCGGCAGTTCAAACCCACCATCGACTCCCTGGAAGCCCTCTACAGGGTCACTAGGGATCAGAACTGGCTTTATGGCACTTAACAACAAGCTCCTGCTGATAGCATGGCCAAAGTACATGAGACCAAGTCTCACCTTTCTCACGTCCAAGGAGCATTCTAGCTGTACTTCCTCTAAGACAAATGTGTTCATTCTTCTGGTAGCCCATATTACATTTAATATTCTTCACCAACACCATAATTCAAATGTATGAATTCTTCTTGGTCTTTCTTGTTGATTCATTGTCCAGCTTTCACATATAAGACGATTGAAAATATGGCTCAGATCAGGTGCACCTTAGTCCTCAAAGTGACATCTTTTGGTTTTTAACACTTTAAAGATTTTTTTGTTTGTTTGTTTTTGGCAGCAGATGTGCCCAGTGCAGTAGTCTTTTGATTTCCTGACTACTATTTCAATGGGCATTGATTGTGGATTCAAGGAAAATGATATTCTTGATCATTTCAATCTATTCTTTGCTCATTAATGTTGCTGATTGGTCCAGTTGTAAGGAATTTTGTTTTCTTTATACTGAAAACTCTAGTCTTTGATCTTTACCAATAAGTATTTCAAGTCCTCTTCACTTTCAACAAGCAAGATGTGTCATCTGCACATGGCAGGCTGTTACTGAGTCTTCCTCCAGTCCTAATGCTATGTTCTTGATATAACTTAGCATTTTTATTTTTAATAATTTGCTCAGTATATGGATTGGATATAACCTAGCTGCACACCTTTCCTAATTTTAAACTATTCAGTAGCCCCTTTGTTTTGTTCTAATGACCGCCTCTGATCTATGTGCAGTTTCTGAATGCACGAGCACAAGTAAGTGTTCTAGGGTTCACATTCTTCACAGTGTTATCCATAGTTTGTTATGATCTGCTTTCAACATTGCAGTGTGGGAATCCCCAAATTTTATCTTGTATAAATTAATGGCAAATGCTTCTTTACCTGGTGTGGCAGGGTAAAGCACTGGACGGGACCCATAAGGTCGGTTTGAACCACAAGGTTGGTGGTTCAAACTCACCAGTCACTCCTTGGAAACCCTATACAGGGTCACTATGAGTGGGAATTGACTAGATGGCACTTAAGAACAACAACAACATTTCAGTTTATGAAAGGTTTTCTTAGGAATGCTGTAATTTAGAATAATTTCCTATATTTGTTGTTTGTTATCATACTCCCTGCCCTCCACCCTGATGTAAGCTCCTTTCATGTATCTTAAATGAATCAGAGCAACACTCTGTTTGGATGCTACTGTTCTATAGGACAGGCACCTTGCTGTGGAGGGTTGAGCAGTGCTTTGGGATTGTTTTCCTGAAAGAACACTTTCTGGTTTCAATTGAAAATCTGCATGCTGACACTTATCTTCAAAACTTTGTGGGTTGTGAATAGGAAGGTTTCAACCCAAACAGCTGCTTGGCTTGGATATAATCAGGGAACTTTCCACATGAATTTCAGGCAGCTATATAATCTGACTTTCCGTTTTCCTTGTTTCTTGTTTGCCACCTGGCAGTTTAATGACTTTTAAATAAAGCTATGTGTAGGATGAACAAACACAAATTTGAAACCTATGGTAATAATATCTGCGGTTGTATGATAATTGTGTGTTTTCTCTGCTTTTTGTTACTGTTTGTTTTGAGAAACTGTTGTAATTCTCCTAGAATCCAGATGGCTAGGTCCATGGAATAGGGGTGACTCAGACAAGTCTTCTGTCATTTTGAACCTTGAACCTTTACGGAGCAGTTTCCAGGGTTGTCGTCAAGTCAAGTAATAAGACTAGAAAGCCGTTTAGACGAGATAGGTTTGCTTTGCTTACTGAGCTCCTTTGAAAACATTATAGTCTCCTTCGGGACGCTACCCTGCCCCCACACCTGCATTCTTATCACCTGCATTCTTATCCTTTTTTTGCGCATCTTCCTGATAACCTTTGAGTTGATGTTCCTTGATCAGAATCATATTTACTCACAATAAATATATTCTGTTACATTAATTTTTGGTGTTTGTGCGTTTTGGGTGTTAGACAGCTTTGTTTGTTTGTTTATGTTGTTGTTGTTAATAATAATACTATTAATAAGTTACGGGAGGAAAAGAAAGATTTGAAGAGGAATTATTCCCAAGCTTTCCCTGTAAGGAGGGAGCCCTTTCTATAAATTTTATTCTTTGACCAAGAGCTTTTGTTGTAAACTAAATGTTTTGAATTAGTGGATTATTACATTTTTCCATTCTGTTATAAATCTGGTTGAATGCTGTATGCAATAAGAGATTGTCAGTTGCCATGAAAAGGTATTGGGGTGAGATTGTGAAGGACTTTCTTTTCCTTTGTCCCTTTTTGTAATATTTCCTGATTTGTAGTCTTCTTTTTTGCTCCTTTACCCTGGAATTTATTTTTCTGATATCTCCATTTCTGTATCAGCCACAGCTCTGCTTCCGAATCCTCCCTGGTCATTACGTACATACTGGCCAAGAACCAGAGGTCAGGACAGTGTATTCATGTTCCCTAGTAGCCCAAAGCATGCTTATGACCAAGGCTTTTTGTGGGGAAGATTGTGACATTTTCTAAAACCAAGTATTTAGGAGATAATCAAATTGAACATGGAGATTAGAATAATTAGGAGAGTTTATCTAATTTCTCCTTTAGAAAGGGGAAAGGTTTTTTATTTCCTCTTCTTGAAAGAGTGTTGCAGTGAGATGCAAATTAGATCACACTTAAGAACAATTACAACGCTGATTCTCAATCTCTGGCAAAGGAGAGTGAGAAGACAGGCATCCTGATTTGCAGGAAAATGCAAACCAACTCATCTTTTGCAGCTCCGTGGTGATTCTATTGTAAAGTTTTGCCGCTTGTAAACGTTTCTGGGGTATGGTAAGCTGAGCCTGGGGGCGTGGTTAGGAACAATACTTTAGCTCTTTTACCCCCCTAAATCAGCCCAAATCCCATCTACCCTGAATTAACTATAGAGTCAAAGAATCAACATGGAATTGCTTGCAGACTTGTCGGCTCCAATAAAGAGATCTGCAGTTTATCGTGGCCTAGTGGAAATGGGGAACACATTTGCTATCCCCCCTGACTTCCCTAGAGGAAAATCTGCGCTATTTTTGTGGACTCCAGAGAGGAAAAACTTCTGATCTGTTGGAGAAACACTGAATGAATGAGCACCAAGGCAGAAATCCTGATGAGGTTATCAGAAGTAAGAACCGCGATTGGCTTCCTCTTTCTTCCTGGGCACAGTGTAACTGGCTGTTCCTAGTTGTAAAGATTAGGTTTCATTGGGAGCTTTTCAGGTTCAAGGACGGTTAATGGTTTGTAACTGCCTGACAATAAACTCAACCTCAAAGTTACATCAACCCATGCAGATGCCTAAGGATATGAGGCTGGAGGTAGATAGATAGAATCTGGAGCCGAACAAACAGCTTCACCTACCTGCGGGACTGTGCTTCTCCTGGGATTTAAACTTCTAAACTGTCTCTAGTCTTCCTGGAAATGGTGGTCTTCATTAACGCAAAGATCAAGTCTTTCATTAAACTTTTCAAGAAGAAAAGTAAGTAGTTCCGTTTCTCCTCTCTAGCTACCGTGTATGTCTCTCCCTCTCTTTTTTTTTTTTATGCACTACTGTATCCTTTGAGGAACTGAAGTAGAGTGAGGGAAACAGCATTCTTGGTCAAAGTTAAACTCCATTCTATGAGTGTTCCATTAACTCAGACCTTTATAACTCAAGGGTAGTATTATCCTAGCATGTCTTATATATGGTTGGGATTTGAAATTTTTAGTGGTTCTCAAAACACACACACAAAAAGTCCTTTGAAGAAGGAATTAAGAAACATTTTCTGTACTTTGTTTTCCTTGATGCATTAAAGAAAGATAATTCTTTAGTTACATATGCAGCTCAAGTAAGGAATCTTCTGTGTAACATATCATGTATTTTTTTTTGGGGGGGGGGTGGATTCAAGCCTCTGAAGCGCCCCTGTACCCTCTGTTATGTATTTAAGAACTGGAGGACATACTGTGTAGAGTGACCAGTGATTGTCCTCAAGTACAAAGCTTTTGTGGTATGGCTTCCTAGTGCACTTTTTCCTGGTTTCAGTTTCTTCAGTCCAGGTACTTCTACCTCCCTTTGAAAACACCACTTTTAACAGCTCATGGTTTTGCTTTTACCCAGTTGCTGGGTTATTTAATTTCTTTTTCAGACCAATGATTTAAACTGGATAAATGTGCGTGGTGGTGGGGGGGGTGGAACATTGGTTGGAGAAGCTTATGAGCGGCAACAAAGAAGGACACTCAGAGCTGCTTTCCTGTGGCTCTACTCCTGTTTCTGAATGGATTGATTAGTATCTGCCCTGGCAAGGGGGAGCTACAGCAGGGAAGAGACAACTGCTCTTTCAGATGAGCCAATTGGTAGCTGTACAGTTGGACTGATCCTGTGATCGCAAAGACTCGAATGCCATTACTTGGATTTGATTTGTCATCGGCAAATAGGAATCATTTCCATTTTCAATATTTCCCCATTATGAAGCATGGTAATTAAATCTTCACATCAAATGGACGGACGTCTGCACAAAATGTTATAATTAGCCCTGAATACTCTTCGGGAAATGTAGTGTGCGTTCAGTGCTAAGTTCTCAAATATATAAACAAAAGACAAATCAGGTCTTTGTGGATGTTGGGCATTAAGAATAATAGTTACATTCTCCTTGCAAAGTGTGTGTTCAAGAAGGGATTACATGAAATGCTAGGCACATGATTTATGCGTTTCTTTTGCCAAACATGGAAAGCAGGAAGCATAGAGGACTGTTTTGTTTTTTAAATGGATGTTTTGTTCTGAGTGTTTATTTTCCCAGTTAGCAATTTGTGAAGAAGGCGAGATTACTTAAGAAATGAATTATTTGGAGACAAACTTCAGAGGGTGGGAGAGTTTCTGGAGTGCACACTAACCTGAGGCTCAGGTTCCTAGGGCTCTCAGAAAGGTGCAGTACCTCTTGAGTGATGTTTTCACTGCCCCTGACACAACTAGGCTTCACAGAAGTTGTTTTGTGAGCTAAGGGTATTGTGTTGTTGTTAAATGCCATTAAGTTGGTACCAACTCATAGCAACCCTGTATAGGGTTTCTGAAGAGTGGCTGGTGAGCTTGAACCTCTGACCTTGCAGTTCAAAGTGACTTTGCAGTCCAGCGCATTAGCCCACAGAGCCATACCAGGACTCTACATGTACAATTAATATGAGTAAGGGTGTACACATATTAATTATATCTTTATATAATAGCCTCAGTAATTATGCTACAGGGCTCATTCAATTAATTTTAAATGTTTGGATAAAAGCTTTATGGCTTAGTTTCTAGATACAAGCTAATTGTAGAAATGTTTTTGTCCAATGTGAACTCAATAGCATAAGTCATAGTTAGGAACAATTTGTCCCTTACAGTTCTATTATCTCCTAGTATTTCTAAGACTCTTTAGACTTTAATACCTTCATACAGGAGCTTTCTCTTAGACTTCTCTAGCCTCTCCTGCATCTGTATTATAGTGCAGTATATAGACAAGTGTTGATTAATGTGTCTTGGTGCCACTGACTTCACTTTTGGCTCCCATGGGGCCCCAGTGTAGGCTGTGTAGTCAGGAAAAATGAAGGAGAAAAAAAGGTCACAAGCTAAGATCATTAAAAGAAAATTGTTATGAGGAGTTACCTGACACTGATTCTACCTGTAATCTTATGGTCTATTGGTGCTGGGAAAAATTAAATCAAAATGGATTTTGTTGTAAAAATCAATTGAACGGGAAAATTTTATATATATATATATGAATATAGAAATATGAAAACTAAATACTGAGAATGTATAGCACAAATTGATTTCCATTTTAATTAGACATGTTATTTAAATGCATGCAATGAACTTTTCATTCTTAATTTTAGAAAGGTTTAACTATATTTACAACAGAAATGTTTCTAAACAATGCTTATCAGAAAAGCACGACCTGGACTCAAGGTTTTTGTCAGAAATTTGTTTCCATCAGGAAAAGCTAACATGGTGCAATGGACTTAAAAGGTTTGACTGTAGTTGTTTGAGGTGGTAGAGTTAGGTAGGAAGCGGTGGTCCTGTCAGTTGTGTCATTTTGTAATGTTGTTGTTGTTAGGTGCTATTGAGTTGGTACTATCTCATAGCGACCTTATGCACAACAGAATGAAACACTGCTTGATCCTAGGTCAACCTCACAATTGTTGCCACGCTTGAGCGCATTGATGATGCCACTTTGCTAATCCTTCTCGCTGGGGGTCTTCCTCTTTTTCTCTGTCACTCCACCTTACCAAACATGATCTCCTTCTCCAGCAATTGGTCCCTACAGACAGTACGTCCGAAGTATTAGCATCGTGGTTACGAATCAGGCTGCGAACATTCAGGCCAGCAGTTCAAAACTACCCGGTTGTTCTGCAGGAGAATGATGAGGCTTTCTGCTCCCGTAAAGATTTACAGCCTTGGAAACCCTGTACAGGGTTGCTATAAGTCAGAACCCACTCCATGGCACATAACAACAACAACGAGAGATAAAGTTTGGCCATCCTGGCCTCCAAGGAACACTCTGGCTACACTTCTTCCAACAGAGATCTGTTGGTTCTTTTGGCAGCCCGTGGCACTTTTAATTTTCTCCTCCAACACTGTAACTCAAAAGCATCAATTCTTCTATGGCCTTCCTTATTCACTATCTGTCTGTCGCTTGCATATGAGGTTATTGAAAATTATACCATGGCTTGGGTCAGGCACACCTTAGTCCTCAAGCTGACATCTTTGCTCTTCAACACTTTAAAAAGTTCCTGTGCAGCAGATTTGCCTAATGCAATACGTCGTCTGATCTCTTGACTGCTGCTTCTATGAGCGTTGCTAGTTGATCCAAGAAGAATGAAGTCCTTGACAACTTCAATTGTTTCTCGATTGATAAGAATGTTGTTTATTGGTTAAGTGGTGAGGATTTTTGTTTTCTTTACACTGAGATGCATTCCATACTGAAGACTGTGCTCTTTGATCTTCATCAGTAAATGTTTTAAGTCCTCTTCACTTTCAGCAAGCAAGGTTGTATCAGCTGCATATCTCAGGTTGTTAATGAGTCTACCTCCAATCCTGATGCCATGTTTTTCTTCATAGAACCCAGCTTCTAGTATTATTTGCTCAACATACGGGTTGATTAAGTATGGTGAAGAATACAACCTTAAGTATGGTGAAGAATACAACCTTGTCACACACCTTTCTTAATTTTAAAACATTCAGTGTTCCCATGTTCTGTTTGAACAACTGCCTCTTGGATCATGTACAGATTTCTCATAAGTACAATTAAGTGTTGTGGAATACTCATACTTCGCAGTGTTGTCCATAGCTTATTATGATCCACACAATCAAAAATCTTTGCATAGTCAATAAAGCACAGGTAAACATCTTTCTGATATTCTCTGCTTTCAGTCAATATGCATCGGACATCAGCAATGATATCCCTCATTTCACGGCCTCTTCTGAATCCAGCTCGAACCTCTGGAAGTTCTCTGTCAATGAATGCTTGCAGCTGTTTCCATATTACCTTTAGTAAAACTGTACTCATATGGGATATCAAAGAGACTGTCCAATGATTTCCACATTCCGTTGGAGTCACCTCTCTTTGGGGGAACAAATACGGATGTCTTCCAATCAGTCAGCCAGATAGTTGTCTTCCAAAGTTCTTGGCATAGATGAGTGTCTCCAGTGTCGCCTCACTTTATTCAAAGATTGTAATTTTTATTCAATCAATTCCTGGTGCCTAATTATTTGCCCATTCCTTCAATGCACCTTGGACTTCCTTCGTCAGGATTATTGGCTCTTGATCATATGCTAGCTCTTGAAACAGTTGATCATTAACCATTTACTTTTGGTACAGTGATTCTGTTTATTCCTTCCATCTTCTTTTGATGCTTTCTGCATCATTCAACAATTTGTTCAGAGAGTCATTCAATAATTAAAGTAGAGATTTGAATTTTTTCTTTAGTTTGCCCAGCTTTAGAAATGCTGAGCATGGTCTTCCTTTTTGGTTTTCTGACTCCAGATGTTTGCACATTGATGTAATATTTGACTATATCTTCTGGAGCTGACCTTTGAAATTTTCTGTTCAGCTCTTGTACCTCCTCATTTCTTCCATTTGCTTTAGTATCACTATGCTGGAGAGCAAGTTTCAGTGTCTCTTCTGACATCCATTTTGACTTTTTCCTTCCTTCTCTCTTCTCAATGATTTTTTTGCTTTCTTCATGTATGATGTTCTGGATGTCATCCCACAACTCTTCTGGTCTTCAGTCTTTAGTGTTTAATGTATCAAATCTGTTCTCCAGATGATCCCTAAATTCAGGTGGGATATATTCAAGGGCATATTTTGGCTCTCATTGACTTGTTTTCATTTTCTTCAGTTTCAGTTTGAATTTGCATGTAAGTAATTGATGGTCTGTTCCACAGTCTGCACCTGGCCTTGTTTTGGCTGATGATATGTAGCTTTTCCATCGTCTGTTTCCACAGATGTAGTCAATTTTATTTCATTGTATTCCATCTGGTGAGGTTCATCTGTATAATTGTCTCTTACACTCTATACAGAAGGTATTTGAAATGAACAAATCATTGATTTTGCAGAATTCTATCATGCGATATCCAGCATCATTTCTATCACCAAGGCCATATTTTCCAAGTACTGATGTAACGTTGGCATAGAGAAAATCTGGGACATCTGGGAAGCAGTTCTAGAACAAACCTACCAAAACATTGTAGTGGGTGACGAGACTCGATACTATGTGGACACATTGTGTCTTAGGTTAAATCTCATTCAGAATTTGCTCTTTTTCCCCTTTGCTAGGGAGCTCCGGTACTGGAAGTGGGTTATGAATTGGACTGTTAACTGCAACGTCAGCTGTTCAAAGCTACCAGCTGATTCATGGGCGAAAGATGAGACTTTTGGTTCCTTTAAAGATTTACAGCCTCAGAAACTCTATACAGGGTTCACTATAAGTTGGAACTGACTCCACGGCACACCACCACCACCCATTTGCTAGGAACCCTGGCGGCTCAGCTGTTACCCAAAAAGATTGGCTGGTTTCAGCTGCTCTCTGTAGGAAAGATATGGCTGTCAGCTTTTGTAAAGATTTACAGCCTTGGAAATACTATGGGGCAGTTCTACTCTGGAGTCCTGGTGTGGTGCTGTGGGATACTGTGTTGGACTGCAAGGTTGGTTTGAACCTGAAGGTCGGTGGTTCAAGCTCACCAGCTGCTCCTCGGAAACATTATACAGGGTCGCTATGAGTCAGAACTGACTTGATGACACTTAACAATAACAATAGGGTCTCTCTGAGTCAGAATCGCTTCGATGACAGTAGATTTTTTGCTTCCCCTTCACTGGCCCTTACCTAAAGATATATCAGCACCGAAACACCATCTTGATGTAATACATTTGGAGTCAGTGAAGCTTCTTTTGACACCTGAATTTATTCTATCTCTACAGCTGTTTCCAACCTAGATGAGGAGAGCAGGTGGACAGTCCACTACACGGCTCCATGGCACCAGCAGGAGAACGTGTTCCTTCCCACCACAAGACCCCCCTGTGTGGAGGACCTGCACCGCCAAGCCAAGCTGAACCTCAAATCCGTTTTGCGGGGTAAGATGATTGTCCTCACAAGCTTCTTATTGTTGGATTACTAACTGTCAAAAAGCTGAGATTAGAGATTTGACTGCGTCCTGTTTACTCACAGCCTAATACATGTCCAAAGTGTTACCGTCTCTATAGAAACAAGACTGTGGATATGCAAACAGGTCTTCAAAGAACCCACTCTTGTTTAGAAACCCTTTAGGTTGTTGCAACCACCAGTTCTAATGTAATTCCCAACAAACCCCTGCTGACATGGGAAATTCTGTCCAGTGCCTTTTTAAGCTATTGTTAAGTATCCAAAGCAAATTTTTCTTAAAGCTGGCACTTTGGTATGGTTTGTTTTGCTTTGTTCAAGTTGGGTGAAAAGGGGAAGTATGTGTATTTTGTAAGCATGCAAAGTGGTTGAGTTTGTTGGAACTTGGGCAGTGCCCAGTTGGGCCCTTTAAGCAGAGGCAGTCAGTAGGGTCCACATGAAATATAGAGTGGGTTGCTATCTTTAAGGGGCCTGGATAGAACAAGTGATTTGCAGTTAGGTGTCAATCTAAAGGTTACAGGTTAGAGCCCACCTAGTAACTCTTCTCTGTATCTCTTCTCTGTATGGTCAGTACTAGATTGCAAACTCCAGGGTCTGTGGTTCAAGTCCACCAGCAACTCTGTGGGAGAAATATGAGACTTTCTACTCTCACAAAAATTGACAGCTTCAGAAACCCTGTACAGTGTTGCTATGAGTTGAACAGACTCGACAGTACTTACCAACAAAAAGAGCTCTGCAGAAGAAAGGCATGGTGAAATGCTTCCGTAAAGATTACAGCCAGGATAACCCCATGGCGCAGGGTTACATGTAGCACATGTGGTCACCATAAGTTGGGGCCAAACAACAGTGAACAAATATCTATACAGTGGTTAGCAGCAACATTCCATATCTAGTTTAAAATTCTCATTCTTACTTCAACCTCCTGACATTAAGAAAAGTCAGTGTATGATGGGGCTTCAGAAAATGGAATGAAAAGATAATGGAATTTTCCCATGAACTTTTTGAGGCCCCTTCATATGGTAAGGTGTTGGAGGAGAATATTGAAAGTGCCATGGGCTGCCAAAAGAACCAACAGATCTTTGTTGGAAGAAGTGTGGCCAGAATGCTCCTTGGAGGCCAGGATGGCCAAACTTCATCTCTCATACTTTAATGTCAGGAGGGACTGGTTGCTGGAGAAGGATATCGTGTTTGGTAAGGTGGAGGGTCAGAGAAAAAGAGGAAGACCCCTAGCGAGATGGATTGGCAAAGTAGCAGCATCAGTGGGCTCAAGTGTGGCAACAATTGTGAGGTTGGCACAGGTCTGTGCTGTGTTTCTTTATGTTGTGCATAGGGTCACTATGAATCAGTACCAACTCGATGGAACCTGACAACAATAACATCCTATGGTAAGGAAGACTTCAGACTGGAGATTACAAAGGACTGACTTTAAGACTTTCTCTTAAAACAGTAAAACCAAAGTTCTTGTTCTACCAGAAATATTTGGAACATTTGTTGTTATGCACCATCGAGTCAGTTTTGACTCATAGCAACCCTGTCTAGGATTTCCAAGGAGTGGCTGGTGGGTTTGAACCACTGACCTTCTGGTTAGAAGTCCAGTACTTATACAACTGTGCCACACCAGGACTCCATTTAGGATATAATTATTCTAAAATTATATATAAATATATATATATCTGAAATTCTAACTTAACAGGGCATTCTGTATTTTATCTAACCTTGGAAGACTTAACAACTAGAAGTTCTGTCTCTCGTTGGTTTAAGACCTATCAAACTTTTATGATAGTTTCTGCTAGTATAAAACCAGCTGCATTGCATTGACTCTAAGTCATTGAAACTGCATGTGTCCAGAGCAGAACTGTACTCCGTAGGGTTTTCATTGGCTTTGACCTTTTCAAAGTAGAGCACCAGGCCTTTCTTCCAAGGTCCCTCTCGGTGTTCCAGCCGTGACCCTTTCAGTCAGTAGTCAAGGGCTTACCCGTTTGCTCTACCAGGAACTCCTTTGCTAGTATATCAGTCATTTATTAAATGCGTCATTCTTTAATGTACTACTATGATGAGGATTGCTAGTTAACATTTATTAAATGCTTAAATATATGCCATGTGCTGTCCTAAGCCCTTTCCATGCATTATCTCATTTAATCCTCACATTAATCCTATTGCTTACTATTACTCTGAGCCTTGGTGTGATGCTGTAGGATGAGCACTGGACTGCAAGCCACAAGGTTGGCAGTTCAAACACACCAGTTACACTTGGAAACCCTATACAGGAGCCTGTGAGTTGGAACTGACTCGTCGGCACACAACAGCAACTGTTACCTGCTCATGTTACAGAGGAAGAAATGGAGGCCTACATTATAAGAAATTCAAAGTTAGTACTGCAGGTTGAGTTGCACTTTTGGGTTTTTTTGTGGGGGAGTTTTTGTAAAATTATACACCACAAGGCATATACCGACTCACCAGTTTTTACAGTTCATTTACAGTGGCTACGCTCTTCATAATGCGTCCCCATTCTCATGATCTCAGCCTATAGTGTTTCACCAACATTTGCTATGTTTCTGTTCCTTAAAGTTCTCATTTGTGCTTAGGGCTATTGTTGTCATTTTGATCTCATATAGATAATATTTTAAAGGGGGACCATGTTCAAGGCAAATATTTATTGAGTTAAGCATTTGTTTACTTTAAAGATTACTTCATGGGATAGTTTCAGTTCAAGGTTATTTCCAAGCAATTGATTTGGGGATTTCTGTAATCTCAGTGTGTCTAGTAAGTCTGGCTTCCAAACGCAATTTGAAGTTCTGTTCCACAATTTCACTCTTTTGATCAAGGTCGATTTATTGGGTCCTTGATCAAAACACTCAGTAATAGTAGTTAGGCTCCATCTATTTCTTCTGCTCTTATGGCCAGAGAGGTGATCGTATTAGTCTGTGGAGGCAGTTAGACCTGCCGACCATTTCCTGTGCTCATTCCTGGGTCTCCTTCCTCTGCTGCTTCAGCTGAACACACACCAGATGTTGTGTGACTTGAATGTCTTCTTTGCAGAGCTCATACACTCAACTGCTACAGTCTACTGTCTTCAACAACCATTTGTTGCAAATCTGTTGTTCTGGTACAAGTGCAAAATACAAAGCAGGGGCTGTGTAATTAAGGAATTTATAGTCTATCTATAATGTAAACCACAACGTGAAACAAACTCAGGAGATGTGCCCAAAGTTGTCTGTGGGAATTCAAGGAAGCAGGTGACTTCTGCTTGGAAAGAAAATGAATCGCTTTACACGGAATCACCAAAGATGTAGTGCAAACTCTGTAGATCATAGTCCTATTTCCTTTTCTTCCTTTAAATCTTATATCATGCATAGGCTCTCACTTATGTATCTTTAATTTACTACCTTCTTTTTTTATTATCTAATTTTGTTGCTGTTGACAATATATACAACAAAACATATACCAGTTCAACCATTTCTATGTGTCCACTTCAGTGATTTTTATGACATTCTTTGAGTTGTGCAGCCTTTCTCACAAAGGAGTTAACTTTTCAGAGTTGTTCCTCCCCCATGAACATGAACCCACCATGCCCTAAGCTTCCTGTCTAATCTCTTGAGTTGCTGTTGTCACTTTGATCCATAAAGATAACTGTTAAAAGAGTTTAATGCTCAAGGCAGACAGTTTTTACTAATTAAGCTAAACTATTATTTGTTTTCACAAAGACTTCAGGGGAAATTTTTGGTTTAATAAGGATTATCTCAGGGTAATAGTTTCAGGGTTCATCAAGTCCCCTTAGCTTCATTCTGGATGCCTCGTCTGGATTCCATGGGAATTTGACATTTTCTTCTGCATTCCCCCCTTTTGATAAGTATTCTTCTACTGAAGAGTGTTCAGTAATGGTAGCCAAACTGTCACAGATGTGAAGGTCTGGGTACAGGGTTGCTATGAGTCAGAACTGACACGAAGGTCCTTAACAACAAAAAGGTGATAAGAAATGTGTCCCCATTCTCATGACCTCTGCCTAGAGTGTTTCACCACCATTAGCTCAGTATAATGAGTGGTGGAGTGCAGTCCTCATTGCTATAGTGCTGGAAAGAATGCAAATATGAATTCATGATAGACCCTGAATGGTTCAGCAAATTCAATCTCTATGCAGGAGTTTGTCACAGCCACGGGGAATGAATCAGACCTAAATATGTAGAGGTTGCAAAGGAAAGAAGAGAATTTGAGGAAAGATTCTAGAAATCCTTATTGACAAAGGCATGAAAGATGGTCAGAAGACAACAATCCATTGTGCAGGAGGACTAGAGCCAGGATATTAATATCACTGTTTCAGATCTGAAGGACCATGCTGTTTTTACTAAACAAGGAGAAGACCATTTCATTTGTACAAATATACAGCTGGTTGACATTGCTTTGTTTCCAAAAAACTAATGCTCACTTCTGAAAACCAAACCATAGTCATCATTGAATGACTCCTCATTCAAGTCAGACTGTCAGCATGAAGATATCAAGTGTGTGCTAAATGAAGGCCTGCCAATTTATTGTTGTTGTTGTTATGTGCCGTGGAGTCGGTTCTGACTCATAGCGACCCTGTAGAGGGTTTCCGAGGCTGTAAATCTTTGCAGGAGCAGAACGCCTCATCTTTCTCCCGCGGAACAACTGGTAGTTTCGAACTGCTGACCTTGTGGTTCACAGCCCGATTCGTAACCACTACGCTACCAGAGCTCCTTGCCAGTTTATTGTAGATCATGTGAAAAGTGGTGCCTCATCAACTCAATTTAAGGAGCTCTGGTATCATACTGGTTACAAATTGGTTCATAACTACTAGCTGTTCTGTAGGAGAAATATTCGGCTTTCTGCTGCCCTGCCGTAAAGATTTACAGACTCCGGAAGCCCTGTACAGGGTCACTATGAGTCGGAATCGACTCCACGGCACATAACCAGTACCACCACCACCAGTCAACTAAATTTAAGGTAAATTTTCCTGAGA